GAATTTTACTCCAAAAATTGAGTTTTTATGAATAAAAATAGTTTCTTGAAGAACTTTTTGAAAAAAAAAATCTCAGACAAAACAGTTTAAGCTTAAACAATCTGCATAAAAATATTTAAAAATTATTTCAACGGAATCGTAATAATGCGATTTTTGATGCTGTTTTTTAGCTTTTTCAAAGAAGGGCTTAAAAAAACTTGAATAACTGGGCCAAAACTATTCAGATTTAGACTTATGAGGTATCAGTGGAAAGGTACTTTCCCACTCTTTTTATTTATTTGTCAAAAAACTCATTCACGTTCCATTTCGTTTTTTTTCAAATGCCAAAACATCTTAATTCAAATTGGAATGACGCTCGTTCATTCTACCTTTCTCTTTCATACTTTGAATGAATTTATTTGCAAAGAAATAAAAAGAGTGAGAAATAAACCCAAACTGGGATAGTATTGGTCCAGTTATTCAAGTTCTTCTTATACCAATCTTTAAAAAAAAGTTAAAAAACTGCAGTAAAAATCTCATCATCTAATATAACGATTCCGTTGAATTTTTGAACTTTGATTTTTTTTTTTTAATTTTTATGCAGATTTTTAAGCTTAAACTGTTATGTTATCTGAGGTGATTATTTTCAACAAATTCTTTTAGGAACTATTTTTATTCATAAAAAACTCCATTTTTGGAGCTATCTTCAAATCGGTCTAGCTCACATAAATCTTCATATTTTCCCAAACTATCTTGGTAGCAGTCTTTAGATTTTATAATTCCAAAGGAAACACAGTACCGATTTTTTTTTTTTTTTGTGTGGGGTGTGATCCAGTCTAATGTGCATACATACCTGTACGGATTTACACGACTCTCATTCGCCAGTTCAACCGCCACTTCAATGCTGAAAACATGTAAATCTACAGCTTACAGCAGTCAATGGGTTCGCAGAAACATTTTAATCTATTCCTGCAAGTACAAACAGTTGCCGCAAGCCCGTCAACCAGCCACCATTCAACGAAAAGACTAAATGTGCTGCAACATGCCAATTCATGCTAACCAATTAAGCGTAAATGCCAGCAAAAGCCATTTGCCACACTAGAAGATGAATTGGCGATAATTGAAGACATTTATCGATTGTAGCTGCCAGCACTGAGCGGCAATCGCGTCCGGCAACAACAACGCGTAGCACATCCATGTATGCTGCCGCCGCAGTATTCATTCAAACTTCTCAAAACGCCATCAAAACGCGCGATTATTGAATAGCTTCCAGCAGTCAAGCAAGTGGCAATCAAAGACCGTTCACCAAAGCAAGCAGCTTCCTCAGCAGGAATGCAAAATTCTATGCAATTCAGCTATTATGGTTGCATATATGTAACCACAAATTTTCAGATGCTGCAGTCAACATTCATTGCAGATGAACGCTGAGACGTGTATTTGTCCGATTAACAATCACTCTGTCGCCGATCAGTGTCCGAGATTGGCTTTGCGTACATTTCTGCCAATAGGCATGCACTTCCTTTTTGCGCTAAATACTTAAATATGGATATGCTGTGGGCTAGATTATTTTCCAGATACACGCATGGTAAATACGAATAGACATACAAACACATTTTTGCTGTATACATATAACTAGCCATTACAGCACTTAGGCACTGGAAGCTGTATGTATGTCGCAGTTGTTCATTGGTGTTCACCTGCTCTCTCGTGAGGAGTCCATTTGCAATGCTGTCTAGAATGTCCAATTAAGCTGACAAGCTGAGATCGAACCAACGGAAAGTGATGTCTCTGTGGTCGGCATTGACCTAATGACCATGCTGAGTTATACCTACATGAATAGGCGAAGTGACGTGAGCAGGTGCCACCACAATCTGATGGCGATCGGGTTGTGGAAGTTTGGAATTTAAATTTGCATTCCTTAATGTGGCGGGGTCTGTGAAGTTGATGTGCTGTAATTTTATGGTATGGACTGATTGAGGAAATCATTATACTTAGTTTATTGCTTGGATTGTAGACAACAATGCTGGTGGCAAACATATGCCAACAAATACATTAAAATACATACAAACATAAATATGTGGATTAATTCATACAATGTATGTAGAGCTCGTTAAGCTTATACACTGAAGAGGCTCAGAAGCAAAGGGATCGGGTCTCCTACATCGAAATGGCCGCATTCAAGACTTTTCATTTGCCAACGTTCTCTAAAAATTAATAGTTAGATGGCAACCTTTGTTCGGGTTAAGGTTAGACTTAGAAATCCGCAAGTCTTACATACTACATTCCTCGACGAATGAAAAGCCAAATGAAAGAATTCAAACCCGCGAAACCCGCAAACACAGATCTCGATCAGCTTGTGAAAAAAGGATTCGCTGATGAAACTATTGCAGGGTAGTCATTAGTAGGCACTTATTTGAGACAGATCCTCCTCACAGGCACGTCAGAAAACATCTTACACAAGTTATTAACGGCATTAACAGAAGGTCCCTTATTGTTGTTGTTTTGGTTGTAACAGCATACAAATTCCCCCAATAGTTTTTGGGGCACAGTCCTTGGCCAGTTATGAATCTGGGACGTTCCGGTGGCGTAGAACCGACTTTCGAGTGATCGAGGGTACGCGTTATTGTTGTTGTAGCAGCAGTGCTCAACCCCTCAGGTTCTGTCATGAATCATCATCTTCAACGTCGGACACTGCAGCGGGCGGCGCCGACACTGGCGCTGCGTAGTTTGCCACTGACCGGCCGATTGCTTTGTAGGTTGCTAGCAGGGTTTATTTATCGGCTCCCCAGGTGCTGCCGGCTAGCGACTTGAGGACTTTGTTCCTGGCCCATAGTTTTTTTTAAGCAGCCCAGGCCTACTCTGAGAAGGAGAAAAGGCTATGAAAGTCACTCCCAGAACTTTCCGGTGATTGTTCGTCGGTATTTTGGCGCCATCGACGAAGACGTCCAGTTCAAGCCTGATCTCCTTGGTCCAGGTTGCGAAGTGTGGCGATGGATTTTGCCGCGGAGTTTTGAGGCTTCTTGCAGTGAAGAAATTCGAAAGATCAGCGAGATAGTTTCGGTTATTTGATCACGAAGGCTATCGATGTTTGGGCGCGTTGCCATTATTGTGCAATCATCAGCGTAGCTTACCGAGTTGAATCCGGCGGGCGGCGGAGGAAGTTTTGCCATGTAGAGCTGGAAGCACGAGTCTAGGACGTCTTGGTAGAGGGTCGCACGGTCCACCAAGTCGAATACCCTCGACAGGTTAACTTCGACTAGGACTGTCCGACCCTGTACGGCGTTGATTCAGACCCTCGCTAATCTGTGTGGTGATGGCGTTCAATGCTGTGGTCCTGCTTTGCATTTTCCGTTTCCCATGCTGGTGTTCAGCTAGACAGAGGGCGCGTCATCACTTTCAGTGACTTTCGTACCACGAATACCGTTTTTTGGAGCCAGACGCCACCAATAGTCGAGGAAGAGCTTTATCTGCAGCGAGAGACCCGCAAAAGCTATAGCTCAATCAAGATCTGGATATTACAGTCATATTTATCCCGACTCGATTCCGACATGCAAAACATATGTTCGGCTTATGACTCCAACCACATCTTCACCTGCCCACTTAAACCCTGTAGCTAACACCTCTCTCCCTTAGATCCCACCCTGTCGCAACAGCACATTTCCTGGGCTTACCGTTAGTTCAGCTTGACGACAACAATTTATGGACTGACCGCTTTAAGCAATTCGTTACATAACAACAACGATAGCATTAATATCTTAAAACTGGAATCACTCAAGCCATGGAAATATGTAGCCTCCAAAACCGTTGATCCTAACAGTAACAAAAAATTTAACTAACAGGACAAAGCTACGTAACCAAGTTCCTAAACCAGTCAATAGTTATTCAACGGAAATATGGGAAAACGCCAGCGTCTTTCCTTCGGACAACTCTCATTTCCCCAGTAGTGGAGGGGAGACTGTAGGCTCGAAATATTTAGTACGGGGTACCATAGGGTATGACACTTGTACACTTTGAATAATTTTTACTTTGCGGAAGTTCCCCAGCCACAATTGGAATCCTTTTTGATCTCAAACGTTGACGACTGATCTCGTCGCGTCTCTGGAATGCAAATTCAAACGGTTAATATCCCAGAAACTAAAAGGATAACTTGCTTTCATTGCAACAAATGCTTTCGCAGCCGAGGTCCAGATGCGCAATAAAGTGAGAGATAGTCCATTGTTGTTGCAATAAAAAGCGCGGTATATGACTTGGGCTACTGCAGCAGGTTAAACTCCTACCTGAGTAGATTGAATGAGGATGTGCCAAATGAGTGTCCGGCATGCGGAGAGACCCCACATGACTCGAAACATCTCTTCGCATGCCCGGAAAACCCGACAACCCTAACGGCCTTGTCCCTGTGGACCAACCCCACAGAAGCTGCACGCTTCCCAGGGCGGCCGTTAGTGGAACTTGACGACAACGACTGAGATACCAACCGTCCTGGGCGGGGTTGTTGTAGCCGCCACAACAACAACTGGGGAAAAAGTCATCCACACGACTTTCGGGTTTACGTAACCGAAAAGACCCAGATGTCAGATGGACTGTCACTCCATCTGGTCAAAAGCCTCTGCTGCTAACGCTGATGATTATGGTTGATATAAACCGCCAACGACACGTCAACAGTTTCGAGTGGCGAAACAAACGAAATCAATGAGGTACAACCAAACTCGGCTTAGTTGTTATTGTATACAAATTTTTCGTTAAGCGAGCGGAACTCAAAAATAGCGAACAGAGAAATGGCGTATCGAGTGCGACTATAATTTTGATATGCAAGCTTTTATAATTATTATTTTTTTTTTTCTATTTTTAAAACGTGGCCCACTGTGCCAAAAAAAAAGAAAAATTGCGGAAGCCGCTGGATACAAAAATGTTGCTTTGGATTTCCTGTCAAGTTTCAGTGGCTCTAAATCCAGGTAGCAGCAAACTATTTTGAAGCCACAGGAAAGTAGCCGACTGCATAACAGCTGTGTTGAAACAGCTGATTAGGTGCAAGTTTATTCAGTCAAAACGAGCATGCATTGGAAAAGAAAAACTGGTTGCAAAATCTAAGATATCATTTAATATAACATAAAACAACACGCAATGCTGCAGCCGTCCAAACAACAGATTCTACGCCTTTACAAACATCTAATACGCTACGGCAATCAATTGCAATTAACGGACAAAAACTACTTCCTGGGTCGCATACGCCGTGAATTCAAAGAAGGGCGCACTCTGGCCGATCCGCTACAAATTGAGTTCAATTTTAAGGTACCCAAATTAGAGCTTATTTAAATCGAAAAATATTTTACTAAACTTTTCAAATATGTTTTTTATGTTAAGCGCGGTGAAACGCTTTTACGTAAAGGACGCATTCTCTAGCCAAAATGTTACAACGCCTGCTAGGCACACTTGCGTCTCGTAGCACTGCGTTGTACACCACCACCACCACGCCATTTATAAATGCCTGCCGCTGGAAATCAACAAATAGCAAAGTTGACTATTCACGCTATCCCAAATTGAACGAAGACGAATTGGAAGAAGATTTTATGCGCGGTAGTGGACCCGGTGGACAATCAGTAAACAAAACTTCAAACTGCGTTTTTCTGCGTCATATCCCTACAAATATAACAATTAAGTGTCACACACATCGATTGGCCTCCAAAAACCGAACAGAGGCGCGAAAACTTCTCTTAGAAAAACTGGATGCACATTTAAATGGTGAGAATGCCGTGGCGGTACAAATTAAAGCGCTTGAAATGAAGAAGTCATCTGAACGCAAGCGTCGACAACAGAAATTAAATGAAATGAAGAAAAATTGGAAAGAGCGTGAACAACTACTCGGTGAAAGTGATCACTGAGCGGCATACAATGAGGTCGTTCCAAAATGTTATGTAATTTTACGTTTAATTTTCATTAGAGTTTTAAATAGAAATACAACTTATAAATAAAAGTGTGTTTAGTGCTACCAACTAGAGAAATCGCCAAAAATTCCCTTACCTATGGATTTTTGTTTCTTTTTCGTCGTATCAGTGCTCGCGTTATTCACACTTGCTTTAGGAGTTTTCGTTGCAGTTAAATTTAAATATTTCCCCACTCCCTGTCGATAGACTTTCAATGGTTCATTTAAGCGTTTTTGTTTTTTGACTTCAGCAGCCGTTTGCGCTTGTTTTTCAGCTTCCGTAGCGCGTTCTTCTGCTAGTTGCTCCAAAGCTTCCTTGAATGGATCTACGAAAACTTGTGCCGATTCAATGATAATGTCTTCGATGGGACGATCCTTATTATCAACCTCAACCTTTTCCATCTGAGTTAGCGTATCCATACCACCAACAAGTTTTCCAAATACTGTATGCTTACCATCTAAGTGCTTACACGACCGATACGTTATGAAACTGATAAATAGGAAAAATTCATGTTATATATTTATGAATTTCTTTTAATGAATTAATAATCCTACTCACAATTGTGATCCATTCGTATTTGGGCCCGAATTAGCCATAGAGAGCATACCACGGCCTGAATGCGAGAGATTAGGTTTGAATTCGTCTTCAAACTTTTTACCCCAAATAGATTTGCCACCAGTACCAGTTCCAGTGGGATCACCACCTTGTATCTAAGTTCAATAAAAATGTGTTAGACCGGTTAGATAAAATACATATATAACGCTTAATTCCATAACAAACCATAAAGTTTCGTATGGAGCGATGAAACTTGATGTTATTATAATATCCATCACTGCAATGTCGTATAAAGTTATCACAAGCACGAGGAACTGCATCGCAATACAATTCAAAATTTAGTGGTCCAAAATTTGTTTGCAGACGTACATAGCCTTTCTTCTTTACACGTTCGTACTTTACTAAATCATCTTCGATTATTGCCGCCTCATGGTTGTAAACTGGTACCATAGCTGTCGAGGTAAAACTTGCTGCCACAGCTCCAGTTGAGTAATGTGCTGCATTGAACTTATCCGCTATACGTTTGCTTGTAGTTGGTGCTTCCTCTGGTGGCTGGTAGTCTTTCTCCAGCTGTGCTAGTGTTTCTTTAGTTTCTAAATTCATAGTTTTAATACGTTTAGTTGGGTCTTTGCGTTCCAACTGCTCTTCTTCAGAGAGAACGCGAAGATTTTTTCGTATATGATAAAAACGCGAAATATCAAACTTTTCTAAATGGTGCGGATCCTGAATAGTTATTATATCTTTGCGCTGAAATGGCGAATCATCTACGAGGTCTTTCCAATTCTTGGTTTTTATGTTTAGCTGTTCAATAGCTTCACAAGAGTAAACATTGCCGGTAGTGGCCAACGCCACAATGTGTGAATTTTTTGTGAATGGTTTAAAAAGCGCCGGGCAATGATATACACCTTCAGCGTTCTTATGAAAATTTAGTTTCACTAGGATCTTTGCATCCTGAGATTTGCCAGTGATTGGATTCACTTTGAATGTTTTGATAAAAGCGTGTATCGCCTCCAAGCTAAAAACATTACCATCAACATCACAGTAGGGCGTATCGAAAGGCACCATTGTAATGCAACAGTGGTCGAATGGAAGACGCTTAAATTTGATGTGCTCATTTTCTGCTGATTCAACTTTTTTTCCTCCGTACAACTCCGACCACTCGGTGTACGTGAGGTACCTAATGATATGAAAAAAAATAAATAAATTGTATTGTGGTTTGATTCAGGAGGCGCAAATAAACAAATACTTACATCTTATCTTTTTGATGCTGGCGCTTGCCCATTTTGGAATTATTTTGATGAAGTTCTTAAACAAATAATAAACAAATGTTCCTCAATCAACAAAGGACATCTTTCATATTTGACTTAACAAATTTGACTTATGTGCTGGGTTGCCACTGCATTTCCATGATCCAACTAATTGGTTCATGCTGCATTTCTGTATAGAAGTTCACTGGCTCTACAACTGTGCTGTGCTGAAATAAGGAAACGGAAATGAGAGTTACATACCTTTAAATTCCTTCAAGTATTTTAAAACATTAGTTGCGTTTGTTTACTCATTTCCAGTAAAATCCAGTAAAAGTTTTTACGAATTTTCA